ACCTTTAAATTTTACCTGAAAAGTTTGTCGGTCTAGGTAATAAAGTTGTGACGAATTTCGTACCGCCCATTTTATTTAGGACAAGTTTATTTTAATCTTAAAGCAAGGCTTATTAGCCATTTGTTGAACAAGTATTACTAGAATTTTAAATCGAGACGAGTTTTTCTTGCGAATATACAAACACAACAAAGCATTGAAATAAGACCATTCATCTTAAATATAGTACACCTTTTTTTCTGTGTACCCTGGCGAGATAAAAGAATTGGTAACAGAAAAAAGAAAACTAAGAAAGAAATGGCAGATAAAAAGATCAACAGAAGATAAAAATGTATTAAATAGGGCTACCCAAAGCCTGAGAAGAGCAGTCCTAAATCTCAAAGATAAATCCTTTAACAGGTAGTTAGTAGGACTTACAGATAACAAAGAAACTCTGAAATGCAACTAAAAAGATTAAAAACTCTTGTAACCATTGTCTTTCTAACAGAATGACAGATAACAAATGAGCGAGAAACAAACAACAGGAAGCTAATATTTTCGCTGACCACCTACAAAAGATGTTACAATTAGAAGAAAATCAAGACACTCCTAACGAGACGATCCCTAGTGTGGAACAATTTGAAATTAAGCAAGTTACTCCCAATGATGTTGCAAAAGAAATTCAGACAAACATTAATCCACAGAAAGCCCTAGGATATGACCTTATTACTGGAAAAATATTAAAGAAACTACTAGAGAAGACTATTGCAGAGAAGAAATTGCAGCATTTTGCCTTAAATATATCCCTACTATAATCTGTTTTTAAACTAGGAGGAGCAAATTGAAAAGACGCATTTACACAGGGAAAAGTAACTAGATTTGTTACTAAGAGCGAGTTTCGAAATATAGTCGTGTTCAAAATTTATGAAATACTTATCTTTATCGGCCTTAGTCGGTGAACGGCCAATGAGCGGTTAAGAAACGAATAAATGTCATAGAAGTCAATTTTTAATTGGTCCCAGACAAAGGTCGCAAATTTCACATTATTGTGATCTGAAATGTGTGTCTAAAACGAAATGTCACTGTCAAATTAAAGTCAATATGGTTGTTGATTGATATCAGAAATATTTTTCTTGCTTTTGAAATAGACTTTTTGAGAATAACTATGATCTTTATAAAATGGATATTAAATATTTAGGAAAACTCTTAATGGAATATCCAGATGTAGCCAGGTTAGTATAAAATATAAAGATCTGTTTACATTTTTAAGGATATATTTGTTATAGGTATAAAAAGTAAAAGTTAATCAGTGAATGATAAGTGGATCACACAGTAACTGGTATTTATTCTATGAGTAATGTGGATATTATGGCTTATTTAGTGACAACCCATGGTTAATGCGCTAGAGGGCAAATAAAGGCATTCAAAAGTTTACAGGCCTATAAGTCAGAATTTGTTTTGAAAACTGGAACCAACATTTTTATAACACTACATGTCAATATATATTTTTTAAAGTGACCTATTCATACATACCTATGTATTAATTTTAAGTATTTTTAAAATATTTTTTGTGAAAGTAATGTTAACTCATTGTGCCAAATTAAGATTGTCCCTAAAGTAGTAGATGGTGTTTTAAATGTTATAACAATTTTGTAAATAGTTTTATTCTATTCTAATAAATAAAATTTGCTTGAAAATTCCACACCTGTAATTTTGAACCAATCAAAATACGTGTTTTTGACAGATCACCATGGCAACGGAGGTATTTTAGTGGAAATTTTTTTCTCGTGGGGTATCCAACAGCGAATTATACTGGAAATTTTTTGACGTTTACAATAACAGACCATTTTTGACAGACTGGTTTTTATTTGTTCACATAATAGGTTTAGTTTTGATACATTTTAGTTACAATGCTAAGGTGTTTTCTATATTCTTCGGCCACTTCTTTTCTTCTTAATGGCGAAAATGCAGGACTTTGGATGCTTTGAATTATGTGTCTATGTCTAATAAAATATATATAATATTTAGACACTAATTTATTCACCTTTTTCCTATTCAGCACTTTGAATTTTGCCTAGTTTAGGTGCAAATATTCGTGGACAATTCGGAACAAATTTTCGTTTTTCAAGTTGGAGCCACAATCCTCTATTAATCCGAGTAAGTAAGTCATGGTGCAATGATTGATCATTACATCAGACAATTTCACGCATATTTTGCATAGCGTATGATTTTCAAATCGATTCATTTTTAAACAAATACGTAATTTTGTTGGTTTTACTTGCTGTGCAATATTCTTTATCGCAACAAAACGCGAGTTATTTAATGTTTTGAACTGTCAAAATACAATGATCACAGCCTCCTACGATTGATGCTTGCTGACGCTGGTTATGAATTTCATACCATTTTAAAGCGCTCATAATGCATGTTAATGAAAACGCAGAAAAACAATTTTCTACCACTTGTAGTTATTCAAAACTTACGTAAAATTAAAGAATATACTATTTTCTATTTTCAAATGGTATTCCCATGCAACTACAATGAGTAGAAATAAGCAATTTGAAGGCCTAAATAATTGCAGCGAAACATTTTTTTACGTCGGGCCGCTTGACAACTTCAAAACTGAAATTATATTTGAGGTTAGGGTCTCACTTAGTTACCATGACAACTCAACAATCAAGGCAACAACACCTTTTATGTTTCACTGGTGACTTGGAGAAAATAATTTGCATTGTTAAGAAACGAAAAATAAATTTTAAAAATATTTAATTTTCAACCATAATTCGGCGTGGAATTTTCTTACCGAATACCACGCGAGGTCAAATTAATATCAGGAAATTTTTTCTCGCTCATGAATATTTTTAGAAAATATTCATGAGCTCGAAAAAATTTCCGGAAATAATTTGACCTCTAGTGGTATTACTAGTGAATATTTAGCTACATTTTAATCATTTTGATTAGAAATTCATCAATTTTTAGTTTTAAAAAATCAGTAATAAAATTATTTTTTTCTAAAATACTTCGGAATTGATCTCTTCATGGTAATCTCCCATCTTTTTACCTTCGAAAACCAATAATGCATTTTCTACAAAACCTTCAGAATCAGCATGTAAAATAATAAGGTGTCTTCCCTTTCTTGTAAGGCTTTTCAGGAATTGCTACCTTTAATAGTACTCAGTGTAGAAGGATCCATAATTGTAGATTTTCAATACAATTGCTTACTGAAGAACTATTATTTACGAAATAAAGTAAAAAACTAAGTAATAGATGAGATATAAAATTATAAAATGTCAGAACTGTCAACAATATCAATTATTAGCTGATGTTCATGCTAAAAAGTAATGTGTGAAACTGACTGTAATATGACCAATTAGAAGGCTACAGAATTGCCAACTTAAATTCAAATCGCTCCTCTTAGCTTAAAAACAGAGTATAGATGCGGGGAAAATGGCTGCAGTTATCCTAATTCTATTTCTACTCTAATTCTAATAGCAATTTTTAATCTAATTAGGTAAAAACAAATGTTCGGTTTCTTAAGAAAACCTTCATATAATATCATTTAAATTGGCATTTAGATAAAAATTTGTATTTTATTATTTTTTATTCGCATTCCTAAACAGCTGACAGAATAATTTTACAAATGGTTGCGTTACGAAATATAATCAGTTAAAAATAATATAAATGAAAGGCAATACAATCTCAAAGCCATATATCACAAATAATACAAGCGACCATTTCTTCCCGGAAAACAACTACTTCTTTGAATTATACCACAACAGGCACTAAATTATACTTAAATAAATACATCAGAAATTATTTTTTAATATTTATTTTTATTATTATTAATATTTTTAATAGGCACTTGGCGTTTAAATAGCATTTCTTTATTGTAGGTATACTCATATTTTGATTTGCATAACTAATTAGTTAAATATTTAAATTTATTTAAAATTTATATCAATAACCACAAGAATGTAAATAGTAGTTTATGCAACAAGATGATTATATATCACACTAAGACGAAGTTTGAATGCGATACTCTTAATATATTCGAGTTGTACAGTTTATTTTTTCTACGACAAACTAATATTAAAAAAAATAATTTAGGAGTTATTAAGATAAAATGATTTTTGACCTTTACCAATTTATAAAATAAAATATCTTTTTTTTAACTAATGATTATCCTGGATTTAAATGTCGGATCTTTTGCATGAGAATTGAGTTCTCTATCTTTGCCTAATTAGTCATGTATAATATAATTTTTAATACTGATAATTGGATTGGTATTAGATAGTTATATTAAAATGTACACTCTGTAAATTTGTAAATATAGACGAAGAACTTCTGGAATACTATTAATTATCGATTTTTCGTGAGAATTTCTCATGTTTTTATCTCCATAACAAAAAATTATACTGACAATTAATTTGACAGAATTGTCACTTATTTAAAATAAAAAACTAATAATAGTAGCCTAGTCACAAAATATGAAGTGTTTACTAAATTGAACATTAAATTATATTCGTTCAATAAAATGCATTCTTTTTCATTCTGTAGTCTGTGCGTAGAATAGATAATATCCATATGGGCGTAGAAAAAAATATATTATCAGAAAATTTTAATTAGTTCTCATGCTACTTCATAATCGTCCAGAATTGTTAACATATATACCATAATATACTTAATTACCTATTTTTATTATTTATTCTTCCTTCAAGACACACAAAAATAGTATTAATAGGAAAATAAAAATAGATTTTGGCAACCGTATTTAAATTCTCTAAATTTATTGGTAAATTTCGCAAGGCATATGAGGTACAAAATTTAAATTTTAAATAAATAATTATATATTCGGCCTCCTGTGAAATTTTGTTAAAGTAAGTAAATGGATTATAGAACATTAAAAAATGAAACTAGGCACTATAATAGCTCAATAAAAGTGTAACTTTCTTGTGAAATAATATCAAGTTAATATAATTAATCTTCTGGTATTTATTATTTTTAAAACGTATAAAATATAAACTTACCAAACACAAAATTGTTTTCATTCTCCTAAACGTTTTCGAACACTAGGTATATACGTAAAACACAAAACTGCCAAACTAAAAAATCAATTCAAGTTTCCAAATTAATATTAAACACTTCCATAATCATCATCATCTATATATAACTATCAAATCCGCAATCTGCCCCTTCCACCGTTAATTTGGTACAAAAGATGAACACATCCTAAGACAGTTTCTGAAATTTTGTAAAACAGGATGGGATTGTATTGTATATATGATTGGATCGTAAGTTGTTATGATGCGCAAATATTGTCTAAGACAAGACTGGCATGATGTTTGTAAATTTTAATAACAAGGATGTGCACGGAGAATAGATAGAAAATAAATTCAATGACGTCTGAAATGCGTGTAAAAATTTATGAATATTGTTAATAGATATTAAACAAAAATAGTAATTACTGTAAATGTTTATTAAATCAAGGATGGTCGACTAGACAGCTTTTTCATAAAAAAATCTACTATTAAATTGCATGTTATGCATATTATGTAGGAAGATTAACTGTTGTACTCTATAAAGAGTTACTGAAGACATCCATAGTGTTAATATTCTTGAGAAAAAAGGACAAAGCTTGTTAACCAAATGGGTTTCGTTCCTAATCCAGCATTGAGTTTTTAATTTTTGTTGATCGGTGTTATCTACTTTTCAACTAGTTTAAAAAATAAAACATTCTAGTTGGATAATTTCATTATAGCATTCATGTTACACGCAAGTAAAACGATATAACTAAAAGATACATTTATTATTTATACAGGGTGATTTCAATGTTGATTATAAAAATTAAGAATTTTTTCAAATCATGATACAACAATGAAAAAATCACGAGGATTTAGGTCTGATGACCTCAGTGGCCACGAAAGGAAAACAGAAGGAAGGAAATTTACAAAAATTAAACATGCGGGCATTTCTTTAGTTGGAATAGGCGTCTCGTTTAAAATGGAGTAGTTGCTGGTCCAGCAGATTTAAAACCTTGTAATTTTATTTGTTTTTGTTTTTATTTGTTTTTATTTGTTTTTATTTGTTTTTATTTGTTTTTATTTGTTTTTATTTGTTTTTATTTGTTTTTATTTGTTTTTATTTGTTTGTATTTGTTTGTATTTGTTTTTATTTGTTTTTATTTGTTTTTATTTGTTTTTATTTGTTTTTATTTGTTTTTATTTGTTTTTATTTGTTTTTATTTGTTTTTATTTGTTTTTATTTGTTTTTATTTGTTTTTATTTGTTTTTATTTGTTTTTATTTGTTTTTATTTGTTTTTATTTGTTTTTATTTGTTTTTATTTGTTTTTATTTGTTTTTATTTGTTTTTATTTGTTTGTTTTTATTTGTTTTTATTTGTTTTTATTTGTTTTTATTTGTTTTTATTTATTTTTATTTGTTTTTATTTGTTTTTATTTGTTTTTATATGTTTTTATTTGTTTTTATTTGTTTTTATTTGTTTTTATTTGTTTTTATTTGTTTTTATTTGTTTTTATTTGTTTTTATTTGTTTTTATTTGTTTTTATTTGTTTTTATTTGTTTTTATTTGTTTTTATTTGTTTTTATTTGTTTTTATTTGTTTTTATTTGTTTTTATTTGTTTTTATTTGTTTTTATTTGTTTTTATTTGTTTTTATTTGTTTTTATTTGTTTTTATTTGTTTTTATTTGTTTTTATTTGTTTTTATTTGTTTTTATTTGTTTTTATTTGTTTTTATTTGTTTTTATTTGTTTTTATTTGTTTTTATTTGTTTTTATTTGTTTTTATTTGTTTTTATTTGTTTTTATTTGTTTTTATTTGTTTTTATTTGTTTTTATTTGTTTTTATTTGTTTTTATTTGTTTTTATTTGTTTTTATTTGTTTTTATTTGTTTTTATTTGTTTTTATTTGTTTTTATTTGTTTTTATTTGTTTTTATTTTTTTTTGTCATATTGATATAACTTGGTTTTAAAATTAATAAGTGAGTGTTACTTGATAGAATAACTGTCGTAAGTCAAATATTTAAGTTTCTTGACAAACATTTTTAGTAGGATACCTTCTATTCTTGTTGAGAATTATATATTTAAAATATTTTTTGAATGATCTCGATTAGTTTTACGTACGTTTTAATGACTCCAGCCCCAACCAATTTTTCCATAGGTGAGATGAGATTCGAAAAGGCTATGATACAAAATTCTCTTTCGTAATAATTCTAGAATGTACTTGTATAAATTTAGATAATTTGTTCAGTAAGTATTGAGTAATTATGAGTATATTTGTCCTAGCGTCCTATCTACTAATATTGTGCCTAAATATTACATTTTATTTTCAGGTAGTATATACAGGGTGTCCCGAAATTAGACGGTCATATTTTAACAACGTAATCTACATCCTAAAATAGGAGTAAAAGTTCATATAAACATAGGTCCGAAAACGTTTCTTTTCCGAGATACAGGGTGTTAAAAGTGAAGTCTTGATGACATACTTTTGTAAATATTTTCTTAACGTTTAAACATAACTAAGTGAAATTTGGTACAAATGCTTATCATTTTACGCTCCATTTAAAAGACTAAACCCCAGTTTTTGATCATCTTCATAGGTGGGTAAATTAGGGGAGGCTTAGGGTAAGTTTTTTTTGTTGACAATTTTAACATTTTTGACTATAAAATTTGGAAAACTTTATAATAAAGCCACTTTTGTTGCATCTCGCTAGAACGCACCATTTTCAAGAGAAAAGCATTTGAAAATTTCATGATAAGTTGATGTTATCTTATTGGAAAGTGTAAACAATAATTAGTAGGCCTGTGAAATCAGAAATTTAATTTTTTTTTGCTTTGGAAAACCGGTGACTAAAAAAATTTTAGAAAAAATTTTCAAAAATGTGCCAGGACTTCACTTGTAATACCCTGTATCTCGAAAACAAAACTTTTATTACTATTTTAGGATGTAGATTACGCTGTTAAAATTTCGGAACACCCTGTATGTGTTGTTTTCGATAGCGATATTTTGAAATTGAAGAAGACATGCTAGACTGTAAAAAGGTAGGTATACTGTTTTAATTTTGGAAATTCCTCCTCTATCAGTTGTTTTAAATTATTCCAGTTAGTACCTTCGTAATGCATTACAGCGTCGTCAACAATGCTTATAATATTTTCTTTACTTTCAACTAAAAAGAGGTTGTTCAGGTAGACTATAAATAGTAGAGGCCCCAATACTGTTCCCTGAGATACACCACATGATACTATTTGATCAATGCTGATAATATTTTGTACTTTTGTTTTCTGTTTTCTATTTGTTAAGAATTATTTCTTTAAATTATTGACCCATATTTTCAAGGATATTTAATAAATAATAATGATCGAAAGCTTTAAGCAAGTATAAAAATATTTCCATTGATGACATTTTATTGTCAATTGAACAGTACATTTTATTAGTTAAATCCTTATTGCGTCTTGAGTTGAACGTCCCTTCTTGAATCCATTTGTAGTAGTAATTATGTTCATTTTCATTTTCAATAATATTACAAAGTGGTCTGTAATGAATGTTTCCACAGTTGCTGATATTATGCGAGGGTGGACCCCTATGCTTCGCCCCTGACTTATTTCTAAGTGGTGGCTTGCTTAATGTTTTTCACAGTTAATTAACTGACTATTTTAGATCATATCAACAAAATATCAACTTTGTATCTCAAAGCGTTGTTGCGCAGTGGCTAATTCTTGAAGTGTGTGTCGTGATTGTTTATAAAAATGGATCCTGTATAACAAAGATCAATAATAAAATACCTCCAGACAAAGGCATAACGCCAACTCAAATTCATGAAGGCATTGTGACAACTACTTGGGAGTCTGTAGTTTCTTATGACATGAGTGCGCATCAGGGACATTTTGGAAGATACTGGCCTATCATATTAACCGATGGACCACATACTAAATAAAGAATTAGATATAATATGAAAAAGATGAGTGGAAGACGGATGCCCCAAATGCTAACCATTGATCAAAAAAGAAATGAAGTGTTGACTTGTAAGCGACTTTTGGAAAGGTATATTACCATGAACGTGTCGTGAGCGCACCACTATGATCCCGAGACCAAAGCGCAAATTTAAGAGTTGAAACATCGCAGTTCTCCTCCTTCATACAAATTCAAAGTAGTGTCGTCTGCTGGAAAAGTTTTGCTGTCTATGTTCTGGGATGCTCAAGGAATCATCCTGACGAACTATTTACAAAAGGGACACAGGGACCTAGTACGCACAATTGATTTCTAAATTGCGAGACTTTGTTTAAGAGAAACGCTGAAGAAAGTTAAGGAAAGGTGTGCTGTTCCATCAGGATAATGCACCCAGCCATACATCTTGTATTTCCATGGCTGCTACACACAAAGCAGGCTTTGAATTAGTGGAGCACCCACCATTTTTGCCAGATCTTGCCCTCAGTGATTAAAGGTTGTTCCCCAAATTAAAAGAGAACTTACATGAGAAATGTTTTTCCGGTAATGATGAACTGATGCAAGCTGTAGAGAGGTGGTTTGTAGAGGCCGTTGAGATGTTAGAGCACCGATGGACCAAGTGCATTAGTTTAGAGGGAGACTATGTTGAAAAATAAAAAAAATATAATGCCACTGTAGTTTTATCGTAAGGCGGTCAGGGGTGCAGCATAGGGATCCACTCTCGTATTATCGAAATTGTTATCTGATTTTATGTAAATGTGGTCTACGCAAGATCCGGAATCTGTAGTAACAGTATTTATAGCCGTACGAAACCATATTCAGCAAGTCAGGTTAAATAATTCTGGGTATCCTTTATATTTTTAACCAATAAGTTAATGTTAATATCACCAATAAAAATACTGTAAAGCAACTTATTTAAGGTGACTTTCTAATATAGACATCTCTTAAATCTTCTTAAAACATATCAACTTGTCTATCTGTAAAATGAGTTTTTTTGTTATATTATAATTTTACTTGTGACACAAAGGAATCGCCTAGCTTTACATTTTATATGTTATGGAAAGAGATTAAACTTTAGGTAGGTAGCTATTTCTAAAGAGTCGTCTCAGTAGTGACAATTTAAATGTTTTTGGACGTCAAGAATCACGCATGCGACTTCTAATTATTTCTCAAACTGTTGCACCGTGAGTTGTTGGGATATAAATCTAACCTAACTTTTTTTTAAACAAATCTTTAAACTATTAAGGATCTTACTTATTATCAGTTCATAAACTCTTATAAAATTTTACTGACACTTTCGTGTAACTACCGCAAATATAAATAAAATTAAAAGCTAAAAATAAATAAGTTTTTAATACTAG